CTTACATATACTTTCTTTCTTCATACCTTTCATGCTACAGGTATTAAATGAAAGAGCGGTTGAAATGGTAGGGACTGTGAAAACATTTCAGGAATTCAAAGGAAGACAAGTGAGAAAGTCTCTAATAATACCCACTTTGATTAGAGGTGCATTTATTCCAATAGAGGAAATGCCAGAAGGAATGGGGTGGCATAAGAGATGGTGTGAGTTTTCCATACAGAGCAGGTAAATGATGCTGATGTTGTGCTCAGATTCTTTGGCTTCCCATATTAAAGCTGTGTTTGTGGGTATGCAGTCAGAACTGCATTGGGTTGGAATGATTTGCTAGCACTGAATGAGGGGGCATTGGGGTGCATTTGGCAGCCCTGTTTGCATTTCTTTAAATGTCAGCAGGCACAGCAGGGCCGTTTATTTTGCCCGGTGTACATGTGCACGGCTATTCTAACTTTGCGGCATGACTTCAGGTGGGTTTGTCCCACTGCCTGAACGCATCCCAAAAAAAACGAGCCTCATTCTTGTTGCCAGCAGGTACCATTAGGTCCTGCTCAGGCCTGCCTGTTTTGGCTGCTGTAGTTTCTGACCGAGGCCACAGCTCAGGGTGTTTGCTTGTGTTTCTGTCCCCACTGGGTGCCCAGCCATCTTATGCTGTTGAGGAAAGGAGGATGGGCAGCAGGAATCACAAGTGCATAAAGTAAGGCCAAGGTTGGCAACTATAATAGCTGAAGTCTTTTCCACGTTCGTAGCCTTGTCCTCAGGCTGCCTTTCTGTGGTCTTTTGAAACTATTCAAGTCTCTTAATGTGCTTATGCTGAAATGAGCCATGTACAGTTCTGTGTCACTGAAGTGTATCAGATTTGGACTTGTGCTTTCTGATGTTATATACGTACGAATACTGATGGACATACTGCAGGGTGGGAGCTGTTTATAATTGCCTAGCAACTAATGACGCTTGTGTAAAAACGAAACAAGTAACCTACTCTTATCAGTTCTTCTATTAGAGACTTTAGGATACAAATGTTTGTTTTGTAAGCATCTTCTGTAAGGCAAGAATTGAAAAAAAAGACTGTCTTAGGCTTAAAAATATTGTGCCAAGGTTATTATTAGTTTTAATGAAAATAGACATCTAAATTGATTGTGAAATAAGTGATACGCTCATCTCTTGAGTTTGAGCAGTGAATCATGATCATAGATGACAAACTTTTAACTATTGGGACGTGGAGAAAAGGTACCATTGAAAGCTAAATACCACAATTATACATGCATGACTGAAATTTCAAAGTAATGTGTTAGTAGTATTGTGTGAGATGGTCACATGAAAAAGATCATGAGGTTGTGAACAGGATTATGATCATGCTTATCATGCTTTAGTCATGAATTTCCTGATGGACACATTTTAGTCTGAATTGTGCTGGTTTAAATGGGAATAGTTTTGCTTTGATTATTCTGGTTATATTACCGTTATGTGGCAAAGGGGAAAGGTATCTTACCTTCAAACGTAGTATGCATTCATTAACTGAATTTGCTTACAGCTAAGATGGTGGTTTTGGTACTGAGAAACAGAACAGTTAAAGAAAGAATAAACAACTAAAGAATTACAGTACGCTGTATGCGCTTACATACTCCTGCGCCATGCAGACAAGCATGTATACACGTCTTTCTCTCAGGGCTTTCATCTATCTTGAGTACATCTGTACTGCTTACTTCAGCCCTTGAACCCGCTCTTTACATTGAATAACATTCCACATTGTAAATCCTCATTTAATGAAAATCAATGTATTCTTATAGAAACAGGGAGGTCTGCTGATCTGTAATCAGCCACGTGCCCCTTTACGTACTGCCAAGTATTCTGCTTACAGGGATGACACAAATCATAGAGCCCAGGTCTTTCAGCCTGCGCGGAAAAGAGCACAGGTCTTTATCTGACAGCTTTGGAATGAGTTTCCAGATAGTTGTGCGGTCTGAGGGTTGGCTCAGTCCAGTGATTCTTGGATAGAGGTTTGTAACCTGTTTCTTTCCGCTCCATCAGCAGCAACTTCTGTGCTTAACCATTTTCTCAGAGGAGAGTGGAAGGGCTTCTGGAATGCATTTTGGGATGCTTTTAGTGTTTCTTGTTTAATCCCACTGTTAAATAGCTTCTGTGAGTGAAAGAAAAGACTGCACAGAAGTCTTCTCAATAAATTTTGGGGGTGTGCTCATCCTGCTAAGTTCTGAAAATGTTTGTCAGAGCCCTGAACTCAGACTGCAGTGATTACAAACTCCTAATAGAAGAGCTGGTTATGTAGGTGTAATGTAAACGATTACCTGTGTATCTTTCTGATGTTCCTGGGATCTTTTTTGATACAGATTGTTCCAGTTGACATACCCTGCTGGTCTTACATCTGTTACTAGGTTAAAAGAAGATTCTGCTCTCTCTTTTTTTTTCTTTTTTAAAGCATTTAAGTTTCCAGAAGGTGAATTTTCATCTTCTATATTTATAGAAGTTTGTGGAAGAAAACATTTTCTCTAATTTAATGTTTTAACTCATTAATTTGCTATATAAAGGTACGAAAAGGAAGCCCTTTCCTATTTTCAGTTCTGTTATCTCTCAACCTGTTGCAGTTATAGATTCTTATATGATGTGTGTGCCTGTACAGTAATGTGATTCCAAGTGCTTAAATGCAAAGCATCAAGCTAATATTTTAAGAAATTAAAATGGATAGGAAATGGTGTGGTTTGTTGTAAAGCAGTTTTCTGCGTTTCACTTTCACAGAACACAGCATGAGGGCTAGAGAAGAACGAGCGCATACACCATTTGTTGTATGAAACTCCATCTCATTCTAGGAGAGTTTGATCAGCTCTAGTTGAGGTCCACACAGGGAGCAAAGATTGCTTTTGGTGTAAAACAGGCTCCAAGTATACCTGATGTATTTGCCTAATACTTTGCTAGGTTGTCTTGACAGTATATGGATGTATAAAAATCAGGGTGGATGGATTCCTGTTCTTATCCTTTGTCAGCTCTCATTTCTTCCTCAATCATCTTGAATATATAAGTAGTTGTGTGTAAAAAGCCTACTTCTGTGCTTATTATATTTATTTTTACTTTTTAGTCAGCAAAACGTTTAAATAATTTGGAAGCTCCATGCTTCTTTCTTCTTTTCATATGTTCCTTTCTTGATGGGAGGGTGTCACAGAATTGTAGGGGTCAAAAGGGACCTCTGGACATCGTCCAGGCCAGCCCCACACAGCAGCTCACACAGGAAAGCATGCAGGCAGGTTTTGATGATCTCCAAAGAAGACTCCACCACCTTTCCAGCAGCCTGCTCCAGCACTCTGTCACCCTCACAATAAAGATGTTCTTCCTTACATTCTTATGGAAATTCCTGTGCTGCAGTCCGTGCCTGTTACATGCATCTAGAAGAAATGCTGTAAATAGTACACAATTTACTTTGTCTTGTACCAAGGGGTACAATTAAGTGTTATTAGAAAGCTTTGATAGTGCTTGAATGATGGCTTTAACATCTCTATTAGAGAATATTCTCTGCACAGAATAAGTCTCTAGAACTTGGACATCACAAGATGTAGTTCTTGGTTTGTTCTTCAGCTTTTTAGTTTAATGTCATTGCCAAATGTCATTACCAAATGTGTGTCTCTTTCTTAAAGTTTCTTTTGTAATAATTATTCAAATATTTGGTTGTGGGTTTTTTTTTTGTTAGCAGATTTTAGAAAATATTTTGTGAAGGTAATTAATTGTTTCCAAATCTGAATACACATTAAATCTTATATTGGGTCTTCATTATTACCTGATGTTGAACATTGTTTCTTACATTTGATACAAGGTAGCAGATGACATTGCTTTGATGTTGTAATTTCTGAAGAACAGTGCAAACTGTGTGTGTGTCTGCGTAATGGTATTTTTCAAGTTGTGTGGAGGGACATACTTTTATATGAAATAGAACCTTATTTTTAAACAAACGTCCACATAGATATTTGAGATCAGTTAATTTATCTAAGTAAAACATACTAAAAAGAGAACAAAATCCATTAGGAATACTATGACATTGGTTAATGAGAACTTGTTTTGAAATCACTGTTCACTGATGTAAGTTAGGAGTTGTGCAGTGTGTGTTTATTGGAAGCAATTCAGCTGCACGTGAAAGAGCAAACAATACTTGAGTGTTTGTATAATCAAGATGTTATAATCACAATATAATTGTGTATAATCAATAGATATCAAGATGTTGTAATCGCAATATAATTGTATAATCAACAGATATCAAGATGTTATAATCGCAATATAATCAAGAGAATTAGGCAAAGTAAACAACAATCACAAAAGAGAATAAGTGGAAGAGCTTACCCTTCGGCTGAGCTCACCAGAAAACACCAAGAGAGGTGATCTCCAGAAGAGATCCTTCCCCTCTGGTAGCCAGCTCTTAAATAGGTCCAGGAGGGGTGCAGCCTGGCTCCACCCCTTCCTGCAGCACAGGTGAATTGCCTTCACTGTGCTCCTGTGGCTGACTCATGGCTCACCTCAGGTGATCAATCAGAGGTTCAGGCCGTGACTCAGCAGTTCCCATACAGTGTTCAACTCTATTATTTTCCCATCATCGCCATAAATAAGAAAATACAGACCGCAGTGTTATTTTGAGTGTTTTTATTCTTTAACTTGTGCCTTACTGAGATTTCTCAGTATTATCAGTTACCACAGGCACAGATGCTCCTGAAAACAGAAGCAGGAAAGTTCTGTTCTGACTGACTGTAAACGCTGAACTTGTACTTGTAGCTTATAACTGCCTTCTGTAAGCGTGGCGTATGAGACTACGGATCTGAAATGCACAGAGCTTGTCTTCTCACTGTTGAATAAGAAGTATTAATACAGTATCTGAAGTCAAAAATTGTTATTAACTGTTAATGCTAATATCTAAAGATTTGAGTCATTCTGTTGGTGCCAATAAGTACTGGGATGATTATAATCCTGAGACTGTTTTTACACCTAACTGCCTCCTTTTGTGTTTCTTGTAGGAAACAGAGATGAAGGTACACATGCACACAAAATTTTGCATCGTTTGTTTGCTGACATTTATCTTTCATCAGTGCAATCATTGCCATAAAGATGGATGTGACCGTGGTCCTGAGGAGGGACACGAAGACCACCATAACTGCTATCAGATCTCAGAGACACCCTACCACCAGACTGCGGGATCGGAATCCATGCCGAGTAAATTTTCAACATCGGAAGCTGAAAAGGAACAGAAATACTACATTGAAAAAATCTTTGATCGTTACGGTGAAAATGGAAGATTATCCTTTTTTGGCCTGGAGAAACTGTTAACGAGCCTTGGTTTAGGAGAAGTAAAAGTAGTAGTGATAAATCATGATGATATTGGCCACGATCATGTTTCTCACCTATATGCTTTAGAAGTACAGGAAGGAAAGCATTTGCACACTCATAACCATCCTCATAGCCACTCCGATTCAGAAAACCAAACCGTGGTCGGTATGGCTGAAAAGAAAAATCATAAATGTAACTCTGAGAGAGATGCAGTAGTGTCATCTATAAAAGGTGATGGTAAACGTATTCACGACCAGAGTCACCATCACCATCATCACCACCCTCATCCGCATCATCATCTCGACCATAACGGTACGCATCATTCTCGTAATGATTCAGTTACTCACAGTGATCACGGAGAGCAGAATCACGGGCCTTCCACAGAAACCAACACGACTCAGGATCAGCGTGAAAGAAAACAGCGGAAACAGAAGAAGAAACGAAAGAAAATTAGTGAGACTTCAGGAGATAATACTCAAGACTGTCCTCCGAATCATCACCTAGGTGATCAGTGTGAGCACAATCGTGTTCATAAACACGATCATGTACACGATGCGTCTCACTTTCATGCGCACCATCGTGAGCACAGTGGCGATCTTTCCACTAATCACGGACATCAGGATTCCAGCCTGGGTAGTGAGGATGGGCATCACCATACCAGCAAGCGAGAGGCACCTTGTAAGCACACAGGTGTAAGAAAACACACTATTTCAGCACGTGGTCATAAGGATCGTAATGAAGACGAACGCGATTGTGAAGAGGTGAGTATGAAATGGAGAACTGGTAGGTCGGCTTTTGCTGTTATTAAGTATGACTTGAAGATGCTTACCCACAAATGAAGCAGAATGAACTGTTCTGCCTTCCCGTCATCCGTCTTTTTCAGGTTATATTGCCCACTTGTCTCCGTTTAAAGGGTGAGGACGTACTTAAAGCATTCTAATGTACCTTGTTTGCAAGTGGTGGTTGTAGTTATTGTTTGTTTTTTTCCTCCAATATTCAGGAGTACATCTTTTTTTTTTTTTTTTTTTTTTCATTATTGTGCTTTTTGGACTTTCTGAATCGGAGACTATTTACATTTTTGGAAGCTGCGCAGAGACTTTTTCCCAGGATAAGAATGCGTATTTTCCAACGTGCTTGTTTCTTTGTTCTGAAAGAGTGTGAAGCAATATAGATGCAACTTCTGTTGTACCGCACATGGTGTAAGCTCTTTCTCCCATTACTCTTTTCAGCATCCGCTATTTTGTCCAGGTCCATAAATTCACTGTCCCTATCCCCTCACAGTTTACAGCATGAGCAGGACGGTTTGACTACATGGTTTTAAGTATAGCAGTCTAAAAAGGGATGGAGTGAGTGACGAGTTAGTTTTTAACGTTAATTGCGAAGGGAAGCTCTAAACACAAGAGCGTTAATGGCTGAAAGAGAAGTATTAGGAAACCTGGCTTGGATTGATTTATGTTCTGTTCCTTTCTTCTTGCTCTTTGTTTACTGCTTGTACTGTAACTGTTAGAAAGAAAATTTGCTTTCACTGACATTTATCAAAAATTACATAAACATTTGGGGACTGAGTTGTATAATCTGACAGTTTGTTCCTCTTCAAAACTGCTTAAATCAGCTGAGGCTGATTGAGCACTGATGGAACATTTTGGACCAGAGTTTTTCATTCCTGTGTGTGTTTTGAAATCATGTGCTATGTTTTCCACAACTGTAGGGTTGTATTTTTTTTTTTAATTTTTTTTTTTTTTTTAGTGAAATGGTTGCTTTTGTATTTAATTTGTTTGTACCGTTTGCTTGCAGTGCTTAAATGTTACTCAGCTGCTACGACGCTACGGTCTGGAAACCAGCTCTCAAATATCTCCTGAATTTTTTATATATATGTGTCCTGCTCTGCTATACCAGATTGACAGAAGGCTTTGTATTGTACATTACGATGAGCTTGAAGATCTTGTGAAAAGTAAAACTGCATCAATTGAGAGCGAAGATAAAACAGGCGCTTCAGGTAGGTGTGTCATATCCAAAGCCTTCTGTTTGTTTTTTTTTTTTGTTTTTTGCGTTGTGAATTTTAACTTTTGTTCACAGTTTGAAGCATCGTACAGTTTAGCATTGACTGCAGAGTGAAGTAAAGTTTAGAAGATATTTGGGACAGTACACGCCATTAAGTCAGTAGACAAAGCATAATTTTTGGTAGCCTCGTAGCTTCTCCAAAGGAACCGTGACTCTGGGAAATATCCACTAAATTGGGTTGCCTAGACCCTGTCCAAGCTGGCCTTGACCTCCAGGGATGAGGCATCTACACTAGCTTCTCTGAGCTACCCGTTCCAGGTAGCACTTATGGAGATCAGCATATCCTCCCACAGTTTGGGTTCTTTACATCATTTAAAATTTTACAACTTGCTTTTAGAGAGGCTGAGATGGTCCATGCATTTGTCCGTAAGCTGAAAAGTTGCAGTTACATCGGCCTTAACTTTGTTATTAAATTCTGTTTGCCTATATTAGTTTAGGAGCAGGGGACGCTGCCTTTATCAGTACATTTTCCAGAAGATCCAATTAAAAGTGTTTTTTAAGCTTGTTATTCAGAAATCTCCTATAGTGACACAATATCTTGTTAACTATTAAAAGATTGCTGGAAACTGAATGTCCTGTGTGTTTTATATGGCAGCAGATCGTTTGTTTGTGGGTAGTCTCACCGTAGTAAGAGTTGACCCTTGTCCTGCCCTACTGCCAAGAGGATTTGTGGAACAGCGTTAAGCATTTACTGCCAGTTGAAATATGGAAAAGATGGATAAAACTGTCATGTTGTACATGTTTTGAATCAATTTAATTGTAAAGTTTGTACGGCTGAGTGCTTCTTTTTAAAGTAATGCTTTTTCTTTCTGTGTAATGAGCAGGAGAGTTGATGAGCAGCTGAACTTGGAGGTCCTGTAAAATTTTAAGAGACTTAATTTGCAAAATAAGGGAACCTTATTGTGAACAGTAACATGCCATGGTATCTGGTGTTTTGCATATGAGCAACATTAGCCAGTTAGTGGTGAAAACGTGTGGGTTTTTAACTTACTAATTCAGCTTTGAAAACAGTCGCTCACCTCTGAAGTAGGTCAACCTGATGAGATAGTGATAAATCCTGTAATCTAACAGTGTCACATAGGCAATGTTTCTAAGTATAAGGAGACTTCAGGTGCTGTAATGACATTTTCACTTAAGTAAGGAAGCGAATCATAAAATAACAAATCTTACCTAGTTGTGATGGTTTTATATTTTTTGTTTTTTTCGGGTTTCAGTATTCCACATCAAAACATCATGTAGTGTACTGGGCATTAAAGTGTTAATGCCCCAATTCCAGGTAGCTATCCCTGTACATTACAGAAGTCATGGGATCTGGCCCTTCTGGGTGGGGAGAGGTCTCTTACTGTCTGGTAGTGGGTGCTGGAGGGTGCTTTCCTAACCGTTCCCAGCTTTTCAGGTTTGGCTTGGTCCCGGGAACTCCCTCTCCCATCTTGTCTGATTTATTAGTCTCAATTTCAATTAAATTGTATTATATTGTGTTATCTTGTATTCCAGTATCATAGTAAAATAAGTTTTCCTCCATAGATTGTTGCTGCTGTTCTTTTCCTCCCTTCCTTACTTCCCATTTTGTGGGGCTGCGGTGGGGGGGGGAAGGGCAGGGGCCTACTGCCCCCCTGTCACGGGCATAGATTGATCTAGTCAACTCTGTGACCCTAGTGCTTGAGGACTGTGGAAGGGGTGCTTGCCCCGGCTTGTATCAACATTCTTTACTCCATACTTGGCAAAGTTAGGAATATGCAGGCCATTTTTAAACACAAGATGCTTGTGCTTCTCTTTAGTTTTAATTAAAAGCTTTCCAAATGTGTAATAGACTAGTGCTGATTCTGTTTGCTCATATTAACTCATAAGATTTTCACTAGGTCTCACAGTGCAGTTATCTAGAGCAAAGTAATTTAATTAAATGATGACCAAAAATTGTGAAACCGTGCTGAGCTTTGTGGTAGATGCAGTAACAGTTACTGCAGATAATTCTTAAATGTCTTCTGTTACAGAGGTTTCAAAGTCTTCTAGGAGTTTTCATAGTGTACCCATTGGAAGAGGTTGCATCCTTGTAAATAGAGCATTCCTACAGAACTTGCATACAGGGAATGTATGCCTACTATGAATCAAACTAATCTCTTCGATTAATCAACTTCTAGGCACCTAAGAGAGGAGCAGGCAGAGGGCTGTATGATGTGTGTTCTTCTTCCCCTCTGCCTTCTCCTCACAGCCCCATCTGTTCTGCAGCCATCCAGAGGCCACGTGGATGTCCGACTGCCGATGTGCAGCCAGTCAGAGAGGTAGATCCTTGTATGTGCTGTACCTAGTGCCGCTTTTTATTTCATTATAGGTTTTTAGCTGGAATCTAAATCTGGATCTAGAATGAGTAAGCGGACGCATTTTTCGGATTGGGAAAGCAAATCTGTTTGCCACATCTGAAAAGCACTGTGGTTTTCCTAAATTATATAATTATTTGAGCATATACATTGCTGCAGTTACTGGACAAACTGAGGTATTTTTTTTTTCCTAAGTTCAGTACACATAGATCTTAAGATCTGCTTTTGTCATTTGGTTGACCAAACAGATTGATGCTACGCTGCATGCTTAATTCTGTCCTTGGGCCTGAAGTTGTAGCAGCTCACTCTTTGCATGAATGGCAGAATTGCCATATATATTGGCAAAGGTCTTTTAAGTTTGCTTATGTCTGTGCATTTACAGAGTAAAACTGTGCACATCTGAAGTGAAACAAGATGATTTTGAGAGTGTAATTGCCCCAGTTTGTCTGTCGGTACAATAATATATACCAGAACGAGAATCTAGCCCCTCGCTAAAGGAGCAGCACAGAGAACTGATACAAATAAACAGTGAGCAATTTTTTTTTAAAGCTAGGGATCAGTTAGAGCTGCTGTTGAAAAGTATTTCAGATCGTGCTTGCCCTGTAAATCTGCCTGTGCAGATGCCAGCATTCCCTTGGAGCCGACCATTCCCTGAGTCCAGTAAAGCCGCAATGGAGCCTTTCTTAAAGGTTGCGGATAGCTAGCCTTTCTCACCTTTCTGTCTTTTTATTCTGTTTTAATTTACAAATAGCTGTGCAGTATGGTGCGGAGCATCCAAGCAAGCTTTGTTTGCTTCCTGCTGTTTGAACAGAGGTCCCTTCCCGGGGAAGTTGTTGGATCAGCTCTTTCTTGTTTTTTCCACAAGCATTTTATAAGGCAGAACATAATCGCTTCACTTCGTTGACTGAGCTTTAAATAGTATTCCTGAGACTGTTACACACCAAGGTCTTTTATTACTTATGAGCTTTTGCAGTGCTTGTAATATTGCGTATTAGTTCTACTTCCATAATGTTTTAGTGTTTTGGTCACTACGGCTGTTTTGGAATCTTTTGATGTAATTTTGTTCAGAGTTACTAACAGCCCTTTCATCTCAGGATGTAGCTTTATCAAAATCATTTTGTATGTGCATGTAACTGCAGGCTCATACCCTGCTTTTGTAGGTAGTTATTTTTGTGTGACTTGAAAGCAAACTTGTGGTGACAATTTTGGATCTGTACGGCTTGTAAGAGTTTTAGTAGCTGCATTGATGGTTTCTGAAAGCCGATGGCTGAAGTCTGAGAGGGGCAGAGAGTCTGCATTCTCATTCTCATGTGCCTCATCTTAATCATGGTGCCATGTTTAGATACTGTATCGTTCATAAAAGCATGTGAGCCCTTTAGAGAGTGTTTGCGAAAGCTACACTGTAACAGATGAAACTTCAGCCAGTTCACATCATCTCCATTTCTGGTGTCTGTGGAAGGCTGTTTAAGGCCAGGTCATTTAACCTGGCACCTAACATCGTAACACCTATGTCTAGATTGGAGATTCAGTTTCGTGCTAAACGGCTGTAATTTTAATTTGGGCAACTTGAATATGTACTTTGTGATTCAGTATTGAGTTTCATCTTCACTCCTCCCTTACTTGTCCCTGTCTCTTTCAGTAGGGCTTGTTTGTTGAGTGCACATGATGGAAGTGCTCTGGCGATGAATCGAGGTTGTATAGCGACAGTATTTTTGTTTGCAGGGTCTCGCTTCCACCTCTGAATTCCTGTTTTCTGACTTCCTGTTCTTCAGTTCCGCATCTGATTGCAGCACTTGCTTTTTCACCAATGCCTGTTTTCTTCACACTGTCCATTCCAGTAGATAACACATGCTTTCCAGAGCTTTTTCCAGTCAGTTTCTTCTAGTGGATATGCTCTTAAACGTTTGCATTTCTATTGGGTTGTTTCCTTTTCTGCACTGTCATGGGACACGTGCATACTTTGTATGAATGAATATCCCAAAATAAAATTTAGAACAGCAAGTGGTGTTTAAACAGGCAGGCTGCAGCAGCCAGGGTTTTAGTGGCAAAACCTTACTAAATCTGGTCTGTTGCACTTTTAGTGTAAATGGAGTTCTTGGGCCTACGACTGCTAGCTTGTATATTTCATTGAGCAGCTGCAATATTATACTCCCTCTGTTCTTCTCCTGTTCCCTCACCCATTTCCCAAGGTGTTCGACCCTGCTTGGTCAAGAGCAAGCAGACCTTCACAAACACAAAGGAAGTCATATCCTGCACCTAACTAACAGAGATGCTAATGCTTTTACACTCAAAATTTGCTAACTTGCCTTAAAGTTCACAAACTAACAGACAATTAGAATTAAGAATTAAGCTAGTGAGAAAACTGGAAGTACCTGAAACATTTAAGCATTTATTCCTTGAGAGGAATATTTTGAAAGTATAACTAGAGGAAATTACCTTCTCAAAACTTCTCAGTCCAAGCAGTTAACATTTATACAATGGGAGCCTGTAGTGAAAATTTGTGGAGAGACATATTTTTCCTTGCTCCGTGTCACTGTAATACGTTACTCTCCATAATGACACTGATGGTTTTCTTCTGCAACCTTATTTACTATATATACGTGACTCTTAGTTTAATAAAGTTAATTGTAAATTTGTTTCATTTTGTAAGCACACTTATTTTATGTGTATTGCTGTGTTGTCATTGAGAAGAGGCAACTCAATATTAATATTGCTGCCACCGACTATTCTTATCTTTGGGGCTATGGGACTGTGAAACTTAAGAACTGTACTGTTGGAATCAAGCAGCTTTTATTGTTTTTTGAGCTGTTTGTGATGGGACAAAAAAGAAAGTATTGTGTTAGGATGAGATACGTATTGCAAGGGGCACGTTGCCTTGTTCATAGGCTCTGTTTCATGCGTAATTCCTTCTTTTCTGCGTCGTAAGGAAACTTGCACGTCTCCACCTCACTGGGTTGTGCTGATTTTAACTTGCCCATTACCACTTTTTCTTGTAATGACAACAAAAAAATGCGTTCTGGTTTTGTTTTTCAGTGGCAAGCGCATTCATCTCTTTAACTCTTATTTTAGCATTTGTTAACTCTCTTTTTGTGAGTAAAAATATGTGCTTCAAAGCACCGGATGAGGAGCGCAGTGTGTAGCTGAACGTTATTTCTACCAAAAGGGGGAAGTATTTGCTCCGATTTAAATTTCTGTAAGAATCTTGTGAAAACCGGATGTTAAACGTGAATTAGTGTCTGAAAAGTCATAGTAAGTTAAGAAAAATAGCTGAGATTTTTTTGTTTCAGCATGAAATCGTTTGCTTTTTGTGATTCATCAGTGGGCTGCAGAGCTAAGCTGGGAACTTAAGTCAGAAGGAGTAGATGGACTGTTGTTCTTGGCTGATTGTATTCTGATGGTTTTTTTTGCGTTGTGATCTAGTCTGCGTTATTTTTGTTGTGGATTCCAGTGTTCTCTTGTATTTTTCAGCACCTTTAGGTTAAAGGAGAGTCATCTTCTTAAGAGATAGTTTAAAGTCTTTAATCAGACTTACAAGTTTTAGAAGTATTGTTCTGATAACCTCTCTGTATCCATTTCTTCCCACAGCCTGGGTTTGTGGTATCATCTCTATCACCGTCATTAGCCTGCTTTCCTTGCTAGGTGTGATCTTGATTCCCATCATTAACCAATGGTGCTTCAAATTTCTTCTAACTTTCTTGGTAGCTCTGGCTGTAGGAACAATGAGCGGAGACGCTCTACTCCATCTGTTGCCACATGTAAGTATTGCTTTTCTTACATTTTATTCTCATTTAAGTGCATATATAATTTACAAATGCTTGACAAGTATTGACACAGAAACGTTCCTTGATGCAGAAGTGAATTGTCTTAGGTACATTCTGAGACAGTGTTGGAGTCTTGACATTTAAACAAAGCAGGTTTCTTTTAAAAAAACAAAACAACAACAACAGCAAAAAACAAATATAACTGTTGTTGTATGTTCATAGCCAAACTTCTTTCAGAATGTTTCTAAAAACACCTGAGACCAACAAGATTATTTTAAACTTAGCAGCGTTACTGTATCTTGCCAATTGGTACTTCCGTATCGGTGCCACCCAAAAGTATTTCAGGGGATTCAGCTTCCTGCTTACTAGCTAGCTTCTGGGGAGAGAATAACTTCTCACTCGGTCGAGAAACTGCCCAAGCTCCTCGGAAGGTAAGCGTGTTTTCATTCGTGACAGTTGATGTAATTCTTAGAATAGGAGGTATTTCCTATATTGTTAGTTATCTTTATCCTTTCAACAAGAAGACTGATGTTTTCTTTGTGTGAACTTAATTACAGATTTTTTGTTGTTGTTGTTGTATTGCAAAACTGACTTAAGACTGTAACTAATTGGAATAGTTAAAAATATGAGGTTTAGTTCTTACTGAGAGGGCAGCAGCTGTCATTTGTGTGATGTTCTCTGATGTTTTTTCATCACAGTGACAGAAAAAAGCTGGAGAGATGTTTTTGTTGGTTTTTTTTTCACCTTGTTTGAAAATTAACCAGAAGAATATTAAAGTAATGAATAGTCTAACAAAAATTTTCTGTGGTAAGATGCATTTGTCTGAAAAGAATCTTCCACAGCATCATTAATGCTGCTTTTGGGGCGAGGTTGCACACTTTGCCTTCTAAGTTTCGAGCCGTTTCAGTCCCCAGTTGCACCAAGTCACCCTGTGCTCTTACTTGCTTTGTAGTCACATGGAGGCCACAATCACAGTCACCACCACGGCCCAGGCCACATTCATGAACACAAGCATTCTCATCGACATGCCCATGGACATGGAGTAGAGAACGAAGGCTTTCTCCAAGAAAATGATCCAGTATTGAAAGGTCTTGTAGCACTCGGAGGCATTTATGTTTTGTTCATCATTGAACACTGTATAAGAATGTACAAGCATTACAATAAACAAAAGGTACGTGGAAAAACTGCACGCTAATATAAAAATATTTCAGCTTCTGAGCGTTGAGAGAATTGTCTGTGTGATGACCGAGCGCGTGCTGCTAATCTGTGTCGTTTGATTTCACGTGAGGAAACGTGATAAAAAAAGGCTGCGTTTAGGATAAGGTAATCTGAGAAGACAACATAGGAACCAAATGGGGGAAGTATCATCTTTTCAGCCAGTTACATTTGGAAGTACACCTAAGCAGAAGAAATTACAGCTCTTTCTCTGGCACGCTATTGTTTCTTTGCGAAAATAGGAAAGGAAGTACATACAGAAGAAATGATAGCAGAGGAAGGCACTTGTCAGGCAGCTGACAGGAAACTTAACTGTATACTGCCAGCTGAGGGTGCCAGTGTAACAGAGAGGTTCACATCAGGAAACGCCAAAAAATTATAGACGCATTAGGTACAGAAGTAAGCTGTATTCATGATAGTAGAATAAGAAGAGAGTCGGTACTTGAGGGCCTATGTGACAATCCATTGATATTCAAATAGTGAAAGATCTACGTTGTTTTTGCAGTCATTACAAATTTTTATCACATTTGCTTCCATCGTTTGACTTTGAGGAGAAAATGAGCTGTAACGGTTGCTCCCAAAAAGAGTGAGCGAAGATATCAACTTCTCCAGTTCGGTATCAAACTTGCTGCCTCAGCTGAACGGGTAGCAGATGACTTTCTGTGTCGGAGAAAGCATACCTTGTGATAAAGTGATAAAAGCTGTTAGGTTGCGTGCCTCATCTTTGAGGTTAATTAAATAGTTAAATCCCTTAGGCTGTTTTGGCAAATCCGTGTTGGCTGTCGTACGGGCTGCAGGCAGGAAAGTAGCAAGCTGTTATCTAATGGAAAATATGAGGAAGTTGTAGGAGTAGATGATTTAAAATTGAACAGAATAGGGGCTGTTCTTGCTATGTGCTTGTTGTCTGGAACAAAGCAAGTACGATGAGTCTGCGTACGTGTGTTTCTTGGCTGTTAGAGCATTCTTTGTCATATTGTACTCTGTTCAAAAAGTGAAATTGTGTGTCTTTTCTAAGATTTTTGACAGTATTTCAATTTAGTTTATTTCCACCAATGTCCCTCTATAAATCAGACGTTAAATCTTTCCCGTTGCAGAGTAAGCAGAAATGGTGCAAGAATAAGCAGAGTGAAGAATCGCCAATTGGAAGGAAACTTTCAGATCAGAAACTAAATAATAGACCAGATGCTGACTGGCTTCAGCTCAAACCCCTTGCAGGTAGGCATTTATTTTTAGTGTTTTTTTCTGACTGCGAGATTCGAAGAAATGACATGTAACTTGGAGCATGTAGCATGTCACCTCTTGTGCAGTTGCACTGCTGTTATGTAAATCGTTAATAAGACTTATTAGGCTTTCCCTGCACTGTGTATTTTGTTTTTCTTAGATCTGAGAGTGCCGCAAATGCTTCCTGATATGCCCTGCAAGGTTCTCGGACTTCTGAGGCAGTCAGGGTTTTGGGTGGCTGTGATTCTTTAGTTCTGGGAGGAGTTCTCTGGTTAAGGTAGCTCAGCCCTGGTGAAAACTAACACGCATGACCAGAAGGAGCATAATCGGTTACACTTGAGAGATTCCAGTTTCTGACCAGTTACTGTTTGGCTGAGAAGGCCAAGCAAAAATAACTTCTTTTGATAAACATAATGGAGAGTCTCGGATATTTCTCAGGTATCCGAAACAACTTTCACGTATTGTTGGTTTATGACAATCATACTGCTCGTGCAGTAGGCACCCATACAGGATGCCGTAGCACCTGTCTCGAAGGGATGAGAGAAAGGGAAGAGCTTTGCTTCATCAACTTCCCGTTCTGTTGCCAGTGTGACTGCTGAAACTCACGTCCTGAAGAAGAATCCATGTGCTTTGTTTGTACAAATGCAGTTTGTTCATTTGAGTGGTTCCAAGAAGGAAATGTTAGGTCTGCGGCCTTTTTCATTCAAGCAACTAAAAATGAGATTTGGAGGATTGACATAGAAAAGAAAGACTTTTTAACTATGAGCGTGGTGATACACACGTTTGAAATGTGTTCAATTTCTTTCAATGAACAATCGGAGGAGTTCTGCTTCTACTGGCACAGTTTTATAGCACTGTTCCTCTGAAAGTACATTCAGTAAACAATTTGCAGTAAAGCTAGCGAAACCCTCTGCTAAACTTGAATTTGGACTGCAGCACATTGGTACGGTCCTGGCAACTGTCCTTACCCAGTGTTGAACCGTATAGTTTGTCAGTAGCAGAATTGCAGGTACGGTCCGTCAGGCTAAAACTGTGGATGCTGTAAATGCTGTATATGCAAATTGCTGAAAGATAGGGTAATTACACTGGTATATTTACTTTTGGCAGAACATTGACCGCACTGTTATTAGATTGGGCTGAGTTAAAACACAGTTTTTGCAAACTTGCGCAAAGCAGTTAAATTCTTAGCTCAGTGTTGCAGTAAGTGCTGGCAATACTTTAATTAGGAGTTAACGCGATGTTTCTCTCCTCTGACTTCAATGTAGGAGCAGATGACTCTGTTCTATCTGAAGACAGACTTAATGAAACCGAACTGACCGACTTAGATGGCCAGCTGGAATCCCCTCCTAAAAACTTCTTGTCAGTAGAAGAGGAGAACAACGTGCACCATTCTCACAACGATGTCTTACGTGCTGCTCAAGAACACGATCTTCATGATTTAGAGTATGACAGCCATGGCGAAGATAAGATGATAGCTAGAAAACACAGTCACCCCTGGCATCACAAACACTCCCATCATTCCCACGGCCACTGTCATTCTGGAAAAGACCTGAAAGATACAGGGATAGCTAATATTGCTTGGATGGTAATCATGGGAGATGGCATTCACAACTTCAGCGACGGCTTAGCAATAGGTAAACAAAACCATTGAGCGTTTCTCAGCAGTTTCCTACCTCAAGTAACTTGGGTAGTGTTTTACAAGGGATCACAGGGAAAATTTCCCTGTCTCCTGTGGCTACCGACACTGTTAAATCATTGCGAGCATTAAAAGGTCATCGGTTCTGATAATCTTGGCTCTATTGTCTGTTTCCACTGAGATTACTATATTGATATCAGCAACAGTAGCGATCTCTGTCAAATTGATATAGGCACAGAGAAAACTCCTTAGGGATTGAGGAACACCTGAAACGCACGTTGCTTGTTTGGGTTTCAGTATTTTCCTTAGAGTAAGAAACGAGAAATTATTTAGAATTGTATTTGCTTAGGATTTTACATATTTGCAATAACATTTTTTTTGTTATTAACAGTACGTACGCAGTATTTGTAATTAATGTACTGTGAGTCCGGTTGTTGTGTCATTCTTCCTCCTATGCAAAAAAAAAAAAAAAAAAAACCAAGTAAGCAAAGTATTACTTTTGCTTACAATTAATGTAGATATATTTCTAGCCAAATGTATAAGAAATTAAACTATCGAACAGGCAAATTAGAACAGTTACAAATCTCACTAGCTTGCTAAGTCAACGCTGATACATATAAACCTCTAAATGTGATTGTTTTCTCTTATATTTTGATTTATTTATTTCAGTAAGGTAGATGCAAAGAGCATGTGGAGTTGTGAACTCCTTGCAGAAGGGATGTATTTACCTCCTTGCCTGTTTTCAAGGAGAAGAAATAAACTAATTAGACATATTTTGAGTTAACGACAAATTCTTCTATAGTATAGTATCTCCGCTTCTTTTCGAACAGTTTTGAACTAAAACAACTGCGTAACAAATCCTGTTCTATTTTAAATGCATAAGACATTTTGGCAGTAGCTTCTGAGGGCTAACAGGATCGTTCTGCCAGGTATTGAGAGCTTCACTGTTTTAAAACTCCATTTCTAAACACTTCTGCATCAAATCGAAACGGCTGAATATGGAGTACACTGTGGATTTTAGAAATGCTCATATAAATCTTTTTAATATATCACCTTAGAAGAAATGCATAGGTTTCTAAGGGAAGTTTGTTTTCTCTCCGTCTTAAGTTTGTGCCTTCATTTTTTCTGTTTGGCCTGCTCACTGCAAGCTCTCCTTGTACCTTTTCACTTCTCAAGTGCAGAAGTTTATTGTCAGTTTTCTCACCTCTGAAAGATTTAAGGTACAAACTTCAAGTCAGTTGAATTAAATTAATATATGCAAACGTTACTTTAAAAAAGTCTCACGCAAATGTTTTTCTTCTTATTGTTTCCCAAGTTGGGCTTGTTTGTGTTGCTGATACTGCATTAAGAATAGGCATTAAAGAACTGTTGCACGTTAGATGGAATTTGCGACCCAGAAGACTGTTGCTCTTGTGCCTTTTTAATTACCCAGTGAGCTTGAAACGTCCCAAGCGCGTGAAGTGGTGCCGTTTTCCCCTTTGGCCTTTCTGTCTCTGTTTCATGTTTCTCTTCTTTCAGGTTTTGCTATTCGGTTGAACTAGTAATAATGTACGTGCACAGCGTTAATGCACACCAGGGTACCTGCAGTATAATCAAAAAATATTAGTGTGCGTGTTTTAAGAAAAGGTGGCGAGTCTGTTGAATAAATTTGCTGATCTGAGGATAGTAACTATCTGGGAACTGCTGAATCACGGCCTAAACCTCTGATTGATCACCTGAGCTGAGCAATGAGTCAGCCACGGGAGCACAGGTGAAGGCAATTCACCTGTGCTGCCAGAAGGGGTGGAGCCTGGCTCCACCTCTCCTAGACCCATTTAAGACCTGACTGCCAGTGGGGAAGGATCTTTTCTGGAGATCCCCTTCTCTGGAGTTTCATAGACAGCACAGGATACACGTAAGCATTCTATCTGTTCTCTTTTGGTATAATAACTGCTTAGCCAAACACTGTGGTATATTTCATAATTATAACATCTGTACATTCATTGATTATATAGTAACATAGCGTTTGTAACTTTTTTTTCTTTTTTCTTTCAGGAGCAGCTTTTAGTGCTGGTCTGACAGGAGGGATTAGTACATCTATAGCAGTATTTTGTCACGAGCTGCCCCATGAATTAGGTAACGAATTTTATAAAACCAGTACTTTGTACAAAAAAGGCTGAATGAATGTGTGTGTGTAAATTCTGTTGTGACACTCCTCCCAGTAGCTGCTGGATAGGTGCAGTTGCAGCGAGGGTGACCGGACCTTTGCAGAGTGATTGAGCAGTATTGTTTCAGCATACGTAATGAGACTGTCGAGGTGTGTTTGGCAGGCATCTAGCAATAGCGTTCTGTGAAGTATTTTCAGGACGCTCACAAAGGTATTCGGGAGTACAGAGGGTACATTTTTTTTGTGTTACACCTCTGCCATTTTGTGCAGAGGCTATTGTGTTGTCTTCAAAAATGTTATATAGCATATGACGTATTGCAGAAAATTAAATGATTAAGTAGAAGTCTTTGTGTAGATGTCCAGATGTACCAATTATCACCAAGTCCGGTCGATTTGAATGGCTATTTGGCTAAAGCCTGTAAGCATCGTTGCTGGTGCGTTTGACTCTTGTCTGTAACTAAGGCATTTTTTCTCGGGTGCTGGCTTATCGTGATGCATCAGCCACAAGGTACATCACGTGAAATATGAGCGCATCCCAAGATTTACAAAAGAGCAGCTCGAGAGAGGAGCTCTTGGCTTTTTTTTTTTTTTGTCCGTAGCCTGAACTGGTGCCAGATTAATGTGATGAATCGTTACCTTTAAATAGTATTTTAAGCAAGGCGTTGCTGCACACAGAGGTGTTAATAGAGTTTGTGTGTCCTGCTGTCCAGCCTTCTTTTGAGCCCCTCTAGCGTAGGATCGTGGAGTGACAGAACAGTCTGGGTTGAAAAGGACCACAATGATCATCTTGTTTCGACCCCCCCTGCTACTCTCCTCCCAGCCACCAGACCGGGCTGCCCAGAGCCACATCCAGCCCGGCCTTGAATGCCTCCAGGAATGGGGGGTCCGCAACCTCCTCAGGCGTCCTGATGTAGCACTTAACCACCCTCTGCGTGAAAGACATCCTCCTAGTATCTAACCTAAAGCTCCCCTGTCTCAGTTTAAAACCATTCCTCCTTGTCCTATCACTATCCACCCATGTGGATATGTGTGGTCCTCCAGATCACAAATGCTACCGCAGCGTGATCGCTGCAGCGTTTTAGTTGGGCAATGCCTTGCGTTGCTGAAACTTAGCTACTTGCTGTCTAGAGTACTGGTACTAAACCACTGTATTTTGTCTTCAGGTGATTTTGCTGTGCTTCTTAAAGCTGGTATGACAGTAAAGCAAGCTATTGTGTACAACCTGCTGTCCGCCATGATGGCTTACGTAGGCATGCTGATCGGCACAGCAGTGGGACAGTATGCGAATAACATCACCTTGTGGATCTTTGCAGTCACTGCAGGCATGTTCCTCTATGTGGCGTTGGTCGATATGGTAAGGCGATTTTGATTTTTCTGTTTCCCTGGTGCAAAGCAAAGCAGCTGACACTGAAAATTCCTCTCCCCTGTGGCCAGCGGCTCCAAATTCCTTGTCAGTTTTCTCTGCCTTGCTGGTATCCTTGAAGCATTAGTGAAGATAGCTGAAAGAGAGCGTTTGGTTTCTACTGAATTTCCTGGTATCGGCAGGATCTGTCTCGCTTAGCAAGCTTACCTCTGCCATTACTGCCACGCTGGGCTCAGGAAACTGAGTGTCAGTGGGGCTGCCGGCTTCTCGCCTTTAAACTCAGCTTTGGTTACGGAGGTCTGCGATAGTCCCGCTTCCGTTAGAACCTTTAGGACCAGGACTCGTGAAAGCTGATGGTCACTGTATTTTTTTCTGTCTATGTTAAGGCAGCCAAAAATGGGCTATCTCTTTCGTTATAGAGCTTTAATTAGTCAATATGCCCCAGTGTTGAAGTTGCTATTATAATTTAAGTCAGTCAGTCCTTTTCAGGTCTCGCTGAGGCGAATGGCTGCATAGTAGAGAATAACTCCTCGTGTAAATATAGATGTTCTGCATTAGCCTATAGTTACTGGCTACCAGCTAGTTTCCTGTAAGTTATATGCTCATATTTTTTTCCTTCATGTACTTTGACTGAAGACAGGATGTATAAAGGAAGGCAGTATTTTCATTCTGCAATATTTTTATTCTTGGTCCATTTCCTTAGGCACACTAGCATTCAATATAGTCTGACTCTAAAGAAGAGCAGGAGTGCCTCTGCGTGATACACCTGAAACTGTACCGAGTTCTTACAACTCCTTAATCTGCCTTCCTCTCTAAGTCCCTGTCTTCTGACACCTAATAGGAACGGAATTTAATTGTTTTGCAGTTCAGCTGAGGCCCGCTAAGGGGCGACTGACCTTCTGGTATTCTTGTGTATGATGGAAGTTCATCTGATGAGCTATATTTCTGTATTGCTAAAATATAGTTTTCTCCTAGTTGAGAGGAGGGAGAACCTGAACTGAACTCAGGAAATCTTAAATCCTTAAGGTTCTCCATGACCTTCTGCTGTCACTTATGTGGAGATCACTTTTGAATTCTGTTCTTACTGGAAAATTATATCTATTTCATACTTTATATTATGTATTTATGAATTAATTACATATATAATTTATAATATATATTACATAGTTTTATAACATACGTATTTTATTTTAAAAAATGTCGTGTTCTTTGTTTCTCACATCTCTGCAAGAAACTATAAATTTTCAGCTGCGAGACATGTTCGTATTGACAGGACTAGTCTTAATGCCCGGTCTCTGAAATCAGTCGTATGGGGAGCCTATAAATTTAGAAGTTCAGTAGTCTGTAGCAGAGAAGAGATTTTCATACCGGTGTGTATTTTTTTTGTACGTTGAAATTTTCGGTGGATCAAATTGCCAGTTTATGTATATTTGTGAAATACGATCAGGCAAGACCAAACAGGCAATATATTAATCTTAGCTGATCTGGTGGTCTGATTATTTGTTTATGTTTGTTGTACCGTACTCAGATATTTGGAATAACCAGAACAGTTATAGCCTATTTTATGAAGAGCTACAATAGAGACTTCTGCTCTCTACTGACTGAAGTTTCTGTTTGATCTATGTTATGTTTTGTTTTATTCTCGAAATGGTCTACAAAGAAATGAATTGACAAAAAGGTCAAGAAAGTAAACGAAAGAAATCCTTTCAGTTATTTTTGTCTTGCCTGGGTGGTCCTGTAAGGCGCTGCGGAAGATTTATTTTCACATCTTCCACATCTGCATTTATTTAGCACTGTTGTCAGTACTATTTCATGTTTTCTTTGTAGCTGAGGAACAGGCACAGCTTCCAGAACTTTCTATAGTCGTCTGTGAAATTCCTCCTGAATTACCTGTGGCATGCATGATGAACCTCACTGTTCTCAGACGCGTGTGAATATACATAAGGCATATAACAATACAAAGGGCTGAGTTAATTGACCGAGTCTTGAGAGCCACGTGGCTAGCTTTAATTGAGGAAACAAACTTGAAAGAGCAGACTGAAAGGATACTAGACTGGCCCTTGATACTGGAATTTCAGCTAGATGCGCGATCCAGGAAGAGCTGTAGAAGCATCCGCTGGAGAAGAGTGTTCACTTTGTCTAGTGAATACATGATGTGTTTGAGACCGTTTTTCTAAAATACAGTGGTTGTGTCTAGTTTTATGTATTGTGGCTTCTTTCTATAACTGTAACCTCAATTGCTTATTCTTCATCGATAAATATCGTCTTGTAAATTTGTCAGTGATTTCACCTCTGTTTTATGTAATAACCTTTTTTTCATTGGCTTTCTTTTTAGCTTCCGGAAATGCTTCACGGAGACGGAGATAACGAAGAGCACGGTTATTGTCCGGTGGGGCAGTTCATTCTGCAGAATCTAGGCCTGCTTCTTGGATTTGCCATCATGCTGGTGATTGCCCTCTACGAAGATAAAATTGTGCTTAACATCCAGTTTTGACCATATCCCGGGTTTTGCTGTGGATACGTTGTTATTACTGTATGGCTTCGAGTCTGCACTGTTTCACTGTATGCACATAGCTTAGAGGAAAAGCAGCGGCTTGCACTACTTACGCAAGTACATCCCATTCATTTCTGTATGTGTTACCTGCTGCATTTTTCCAATTCAAATCAGATGAGATGACCGAACGCATCTTGTAAAGTCCATTAAGTGGCAATTGGGAAATAGTAAATTCCAGAAATAAATGCTAATTTCAGTGTGCTGCTTGCTTATATTAAAAAAAGACAGCGAAGGATGTACACGCTTGGGGAAAAAAGCATTTCTTACATTGTTTACCAGAACCCAGAAAATTTTACAGCTGAAAATCGTACCTATGCAAGGAACCTGAGTATACTTGCAGCACTGCACAAGTCTTAAGCAGCAGGCATATATATATGTATATATATATATATATGTATCTTATTCTATCTCTGCGTATGCACGCGTACGCATGCATAGCACTGGTTCCTCTGCAAAGTGGTGACTTGAACTATTAAATCTTAACAACAATAGATGAGTGGAAACCACTGTGCCGTCTTAATTTTTAGGAAAAAAAGAAGGCCAAAACTGTAAGGTGCACTCCCTCATTTTAACTTCATGTGTAAGAAGGCAGGCCGTTGCAATATACGCCGCAAAGTGCTAGGATGTCCTGTCGAGGATCACTTTGACGATGCTTTCCTGACTAAAATTTGATGTTTGTTCTTAGATATTAGTAGGAAAATGCAAACTGCAGTAGAATTAGCGCTAGCTTGGGGAAATCCCCGACGTTGGAGTTATTGAGCTATTCCTGGTTCTTTTCTACAGATGTTAAACATGTACAGATGCTAAACATGTGCCACTTGCAGCATAAACTACTGAAGAATTGTGGCTGTGAATGTGTGCAAACTCTTAATTTCATGGAGAATCAGTATGGGATTTTTTCTTTAACAGTTATTTTGGAATGTTTTCTCCTAGGTTGAAGTACAACAAACATGCTAGTTACGGAACGTGGGCACAAAAGTTAAAATATGCAATGTGCATGTAGGGTTACTTATTGTACTCTGTTTCTATAGTGCCTCAATATCAGTTGTTGTGGCACCAACCATTTCTGTGGTTGAGACTAAGAAGATTTCTACTTCCAGCGTGAATTAGTTCGTTTGTATGATTTTTTTTTAAAGGATTTTGGTATTTGATTATTAAAAAGCGAATGCAGTAGATGGGTCGTAGGCCTAATTTGGAAGGATAGACCGAAAGATTTTGGCCTTGACATGCTGGGAGCACGTCCTGGATCAGATTTTGCTGAGACGGTTATTCTGCCAGACAGGAGCGAGTCCTTCTTGTACTCATTATCTCATTGAGGAAAAACATGCTGAGTTCTTGAGGAGCCCGAGTCGATTCTGTAGTTCCACTCGTAATCATGGAAGTAGCCTTTTCCAGAACCTCCAGTTTGCCGCCTCCTTTGTGTAGGCCAGGTAAGCTGTTGCTGGACTGCGTGCTGTAAGTTTTGTTTCGGTCTGCTCGCTGCCAGGGTAGCTGCTGAAACAGATGCTAACAGCTAAAAGGAGCACCAGCTGGTATCTGCATTCCATTTCAAGTTTGTGCGTTTCTCGTGGCCTGTTAGTTTCCGAAGCTTCGTCGGTCAGTTCAGTTTTCAACAGAAGCACCTTGTGTATTGTCAAGGTGTCGGTTGGGTCTCACCAGTATTTCTTCCTAACGCAGTATCGAGGCACAGTATTAAGGGTCCATTCGAAAGAATAGCACGGTTTCTTCGGTAAAGAAGCCAAAACATGGAGTTTAGACACACGGCCACGTGATGCTGAGAACTCGTCGGTTCGTTAGTTTTCCTCTTCAAAAACATTTACCGTCGGACCCTGATTAGCAAGTGTAGTGTTATTAGCTTCGGTTTGCTGAAACTGTGCAGTGCAAAGATCCTAGGTGACACTTCATTTACCTGGTGCTCACCGTACATCCCTGAGTACAGTTTTCAAAGAGACTTGAGTCACGGGGTAATTACTGAGGATCTTAGCTTCAATAACTTATGTTGCCTATGTATTGAACTGACCCTTAATTTTAACTTTTTGTTAACTCTGTCGAGTGTAAAGGGGGCCTTGTGGTCTAACTGAAGTTTTTGTCAATTTTTTTTTTTTTTTTTAAGTAAGTTTATTTCTTTTAATACGTTTCAAATGAAAAATCGTTTATTTCAGGTAGTATATTTACTTCTGTATTAGTTAGAGTATGGTTTTAGCTTCATACACTGCCCACATAGGAAAATATTCAACTTCCTTTCGAGTCTGTCTTCAGACAAGGGAAAATACGATCTCTCAAGGCAGGTACTGGATTTTTTTCATTAAATACGTATGTTGCTTGTCTTTCATTTTGTGATATTTATTACAACTTACCAAGGGCAGTGTAACACCGTGACTTTTCCACCAGGACTGCAATTCAAATTGTTCTTACGTACAGTTTTAAGTCACGTTACAGCCGATCTGAATTCCACTACATTTCCGCTTGGTTTGTACATTCCACTCTGCCGAATCCAGAGTCTCATCTAACTTTTATTTGTTGGAGGGCGTGTTATTTGTATATTAAAATGCTGTCACTGTGTGACATCCCATATGAATTTTGATGTAGATCACATTGCACTCGATCTGCTGTGATTACGCTTAGAAATACTGTTGTTGCCAGATGCAGTGTGATTTTTTTTTTTTTTTTTTTTGAATTAAAAAAATCCCCTCCTGTCAATGATTGAGTCTATGGTTTCTAATGTGATTATGGTCCTATAAGATACAGCTTAGCTATCAGTCTTTTTGTTATCATTATTTTTTTTTAATTTTATAAAGCTGGAAAAGGTCAAATGCTGTACTGTTCATTGTCAACAGTGTTGTGTTCATTTTTATGTACGTTCCTTATAAATAAGGAGCCTTCAAAAAAAATAAAATTATTAAAGGAGCAGATGTTCTTGTTGGCTTTCATGAGGTTTTACTGCGCAATCTTTTATTTTATACGTCACAAACTGCAACGTGCAAAATGTTTTTCACTTTTTCGTGAATACTTTCATATGTATTGATACTATGGACATTCAGAACCGACACGCGTTCCTCACGGGGGATCTAGGAAAGGAACCCTCAATAATGGCGGTAAGTTCATGAATTAAGCTGACATAATAACGCCACCCCCCGTTTGATCCAGTGTTCTTGCGGTTTATCGGAGGGAAGGGTCATCGCAATGACGAAGTTGGTGGAATGGCCGGTGGTTGACAGGATTCCTCTTCTCTCACTGGTCTTGTACACTGGAGCCAGGTAACTGGGTCGTTGTGGAATGTCTGCTTTCTTACAGGGCTTTAACCATACCTGCAGCAAAGAATAATCCTTGTCACTATTTATTTATTTTAAAGGGGGGAGCGGGAGGGTGGGAAACCTTCTCGGTTGGGCCTAAGTAGTTTTGAGAGTGGTGTTTGGTTTTTGACAGGTGAGCCTGAAAACCTGCTTTTTGTTGAATACTGTCTTTGCTGATTTTATTCAAGGTTACAGTCTGCTATGCCAAACATACCGTTGTAACTTATAAATGCTACAAACTTTTGAGTTAGCCTGTTGCTCCCTTAAAGGGAGCCACTTACTTAGGTATTTAATCCACAGGATTTGTTCACATATAATAGTATAGAAATGTTACAAAGCATAGTACACACTCACCACAGGCACCGTATCATAGAGGATTTTTGGATGAGATTCTCCTAGCTTTTTAGTTTCTCGGTTCCAGCGTGCTCCATCCAAGAACAGTCCCTGGATGTAGACCCCTAAATCGGTTGCATCAGAGAACAGGTTACAGGAGTGCTGGAAGGGTTTTCTAACTGAAAGCAGCAGCCAGCGCAGCAGGCTTTGCTGTCAGCTGATTGACTGTATGGGCCTCGGTCAATTTTAGTGTTTCACATGGACAATGGAATACTTACTTGTAACACAACCTTTCTTACACTGAGTTAAAACTTTGTATAATTACGATGTCATAAATCTATAAATTTATTTATAAATTACGATTTCATGAAGTTAGAAAGTTTGAGCGTCTAGCAGTAGAGCAGCATGTCTGGTCTTTAACAAACATCAAGGCAGTTATAAAATTTAATTTTAAAATACAGGACATGATTTTCACACAGGTCAGCATGAAGACCTGCTCATATGCTGTGTACTACAAACTTCTGTTGATTTTTTTTCAGAAGAGATGTGATGGTATCTCAAAGAGTATTTCAGTAGTTAAACTTGGTTGTTTCAAAATCTAACTCAATTAAAACTTAAAGGTTTTTTTGTTTGTTTGTTGTTTTTTTTTTTTTTAATTTTAAATACAATAAAGTAATAAGTAATAAATATATGTAAACTTGAATATTAATTACCATAATATAAATAATATAAACAATAAATACCATAATATAAATATATACATAATATATAACATATAATTTATAATCATATATAATATATAAAATATATATTATTATATATTACATAATGTAATATGTAATGTATAATATTATACATTTTGATATTATATAATATATATATTATAATATATAATTAATAATATATTTTATGTATAATATAAATATTATATATTATAATATGTATATTGTATGATATAATATAAATATAAATTATAATAAGTAAACATTATAAAAATTACAAAAAACTTTTAGAAAATGATGATAAATTGAAACTGATCGGGTGATGTTTTCCTAAGCACCCTGCCCAAGCCTTCTTCTCACAAGCCTTGGTCAAAGGGATTCTCTTGAAAGTATTAAAGAGCATGATGATCTTCCTCATAAGCCATGTATTACAAACTGATCAGTTTAATGCTTCATTTTTCTGCAGACAGGAGACCGACGAAGTAGTGTTTAAGAATGTAGTTCTGTTCTGCGCATCCCAGCTGTATCCACAACTTATTTTACGAGGGGTAGCGAAGCAAGTGCAGGCAACAGCCAATGGCTTTGCTTTCATTGGTTTAGGAAAACCTTCCAAGTTGTATAATTGGAAAAAAATAAGGGCAAGCTAATAGTGCTTGGAAGTTGTATTTGCAGTGGGGAGCTAGGGGGTAAGAACTATTCTGTGTTGGTGATATTTTATCTCTTTAGGCAAAATCGGAGTCCTGCAACGTTTTATGTCGCATATTGCTTCTTGCTTATTTTGTGTGTTTGGTGGGCGAACAGCGCCTTTCTGCATGTTGCGTTGCTACTTAATTACACTCAGTAACTTAACTGCTTAACTCTTGAGCCTGCAAAGTAATGCTAACTAATGCTTGGTTTACGTACCATCGTCTGGAGCAAGGTGATATTCCTTATCTTCCAGCACTTCATAGTCAAATGCTAACAGGTCTATTGGAATAGTGTACTTTCTGGCATAGTTCTGCTGGGCACCAGTTAAGAACGCTTGCGTGAAGAAGAATCCTGAAATCCAGAAGACGGGTGGCATTCCATTTTCATACCACATCTGCAGCAGCAAGAGAGGACGGAATGGGGAAGCATATGTTTTTGGTAGTTTGTAAAAAGCAACTTAAAAGCCAGAGTAATTTAACCTCTGATGCATTCAAGGATGACTCTGTGGTATTCTTCACACGGCTCAACAACTAAAACATGGGAGCCTTACATAAACAGCGTATTTCTCTAGAGCCAGCACTAAAAAGAAAATAACTCAGTCCCAGATGAAACCAGAAGTCACGTCAAGGTGTATGTCAGTGTTCGTGGTGTGACAGTCTCATTAGAAGATGAACAGCTGTTGTTCTCTGTCAATAGAGATGACTAAGGCACAGAAAAGGGCCGAGCATTGAGGTGAGTGATGAAGGTCAGCTTGGGCGAGCTCTAATTTTACAGGTGAAAGGACCTACAGTTTGGCATTAAGTTGATCCAGCTTAATTCCACTGAAAGCTATTACTTGATTTTAATGTACCAGATTTCAGATTGTGAGAGGAGAAACAGTAACATCCTTCTATGCCAGGACAAAAGAAAGAGAACATGGAACAGACTTTCCTTGTTGAGATGGCACAAAGAATGAGAGTGGTCTGAGACAGCCAGCGGGGCTTCAGAAGGGGAAGGTTGTGCTTAACCAATGTGCAGCTTGGGGGGAGAGGCGTGGGGACAGACAGCATTGCTGTGCACGTCAGCAGGGCCTCTGACAGGGTCTTCCACCCTTGAGTCTAAACTATAAGGATGGGGATTTGATGGGTGGATCACCTGGGACAGAAAGGCTGCTGGTGAGTCGATTAACAGTTCTACCACCACGTTGACCCCAGTAATCTGCAGAATTCCCCAAGAAAAATGAACACGGGAGTGTGTGTACCTGTAGAAACTTAAGTCTACTTAAAAAATCATGAATGTAGCTGCCCAGAGGCTTGAGACTTGGATAGGACTTAATCATCCACAGTCCTGGAATTTTGCCTTTCAAAATGCTGTTCACCACTTCTTCCAGTTCAGCCGACATCACTACTTCCCCCTAAAAAAAAAAAAAGGAAGACAATTAAATACTCTGAGTTAAAGTGTGTGGGTGTTAATGAGGGGGCGGAGGGAGGAACAGGGAAAGGGAGGGGAATGTCAGAAAACAGGGAGGGGAGGAAGGAGGAAAAAAAGGAAGACAAATAAATAGTCTGTGCTAAAGTGTGTGTGTTAATGAGGGGTGGGGGGGAGGAACAGGGAAAATGAGGGGAATGTCAAAAAAGAGAAGGGTGCAGGGGTGGAAAGAGAGAAGAAGGAAAAGGGTGAGGAGAAAAGAGGGGAAAGAAGGGGAGAAAGAACAAAGAGAAGAGGGAACAAAGCAATTAAGGAGATGAAAAGGGGAGGGGAGGAGGATGTAAGAAAGGAGAGAAGGGTCGAATGAGAAGAAGAGGGAACAAAGGGAGGAGAGGGGAAGGGAGGGTGGTGACATGAAGAGGGGATCGTAGGATCGTAGGATCGTAGGATCGTA